TAATAAATAAATAAATAAATAAATAAATAAATAAATAAATAATAAATAAAAGAAAATGGAACATCTGAAAAAAATCTTTATTCATGGAAAATAAGAATTAACATTTTATTTGGATCAAGACAGTGTGCCCTTCGATTTGAATGATTCAGTATGGCATTAAAGGATCAGGGAATACAGATGACTATTTTTACAGAAATTTTATTATATCTCCGTATAAAGTAAATTCAAACTCGGGAGGCAGAGAGGAAGGCAGATCTCTGTGAGTTTGAGGCCAGCCTGGTCTATATAGTGAGTTCCAGGTCAGCTGAGGCTACAGGGGGACCCTGTCTCAAAAAAAGAGTAAATTCAATATTCTTACTCCTTTGATTTCGATAGAAAGTTGGCAGATGTCTAGAAAAAGTGAGCATTCAGGAGAGCTATCTAACACTTAATTTTTAAACTTTAAATTCCCCAACTGAAGAACTGAAAAGATGTCATTTATTTTCTACTAGAATAATGAAAGGTTAATTACATACTTTATAGTTTGTGTGTGAGCCAATGAAAGAAATGTGGAAGATAGAAATAATGAGAAAATAGAAAGGCCTGTGGAATGGCAGGAAGCGCTGGCCTTGTCTTAGTCCATTTTTTTGATGTCCTAACAGAAGCCTGAGAAGGAACATTCATCTCTCAAAGCTCTGGAAGCTGTGGAGCCCAGCACCAAGGTGCCAGCATCTGCCCAGGGTATACATCATGCCGCAGTGTTAGATGTCATAAGGGCAGATCTCAGTTTTATCCAGGGCCACTCTGGTTACCACAGCATCAATCTATTCATGATGCTGGGACTTTCAGGGGTCTTACTTTTTTTAATATGGCTGCAGTGGTAATTATATATCAACATGAATATTTGAGGCGTCACTCAAACCAAACTCTACCCTTCCCAAGCTCCCTTAATTATGGACCTCTGGTGTCAACAACAAGAGCAAAGGCTTTAATCAGTGTTTAAAACCCTGCTGTGCAATGGCAGAGGAAATAACAAATGACAGGACTTTGGAAACCTTTGCTGCAGCTCTTCTGCAGATGCGATCAGGCACAGAGACCAGTGAAGGCCACACACGGACTCCAAGATTAGAATCCAGTTCCTTCAACTGGCCTGGGCTTCCTTCCATAGAACACCTCTCTTAGAACGGTGCATCACCATCTGCATCCTCATTTACAGAATGCAGAAACTGGTCATGAGTGTCTGTAGGAGCCACAGTGGTTTAGAGTTTGTGCTTTGTGACACTGAACATGCATTAGGAGGACCAAGTAAGACAGTGAGAATGCAGAGATCTGTGAGGAAAGCACAGTGGTTGAGATGGGATCTGCAGTCAGGAGTCAGGACACTTTTGATTTCAGACAGGTTTTAACTTCTTTTCACAGATCCAATAATTGTCTGAAGAACAGGTCTCAGAAACTGACTTTGTCTGTGAGATGACAGCACAGCTGTTTTCTTTAGCTTCACCTGCGATTTGTAATCTGAGGGAAAAAATAGTCACTCAGTGTTTAGTGCTCTCTCATAATTACCTTCAGTCATTTTTCCTCCTTTGGACTTTAAAGGAAACAGTATAATGCATGATTATTAAGTATAGTAAACATATGTTAACAAATGTAATGTTATAAACATTGAAGAAAAAACTAATATAAACCTCTAGAGTTTTCAGTTTTTTCTTCATTGGAGAAGAATCCTTCCAGCAGGAATCTTCATAATGCTGTACACAAAGAAGGGACTGGGGAGGTGGCTCGGCAGTTAAGAGCAGTGGCTGCTCTTGCAGAGGACCCAGTGGCAGCTGGCAGCTAACAACTATCAGTAATTTCAGTTCCAGGAGATCGAACACCCTCTTCTGGCCTCTCTGGACATTGCATGATGCAGGTTCACTTAACACACATGCAGGCAAAACACTCATACACATAAAAATAAAATAAATTAGAAAAATTAAAGCTATAACAAAGGAGGTTTGGAAAGTGGGAACTAAACCTCCTTATTCTACTCCTAACATGTCATGCAAAAAGTTTCATAATATTGCTGATCTTTAGCTTCCCTAATTGCTGGTAGGAATACAAACCCGTGCAACCACTATGGAAAGCAGTATGGAGAACTCTTAAAACTACAAATGAACCTACCATATGATCTGGTTATACCACTCCTTGGCATATACTCAAAGGACTCATCCTATTGTAGAGATACCTGTACATGCATGTTTGCTGCTGCTCTTTTCACAATAGCTAAGAAATGATAACAACCTAAATGTCCCTCAATTGATGGATAATGAAAATGTACGATTACACAATGGAGTTCTGTTCAGCAGTAAGAAAAGATGAAATCATGAAATATGCAGGTAAATGGATGGAACTAGAAACTGTTACACTAAGTGAAGTAACATAGACTCAGAAAAGCAAGTGATGTATGTTCTCCTTCATTTTCAGATCATAGCACCAATCCCTTATAAGTGAGTACATATCCTGATGTAAGAGCATGACCCAGTAAAATGGAAAGGAAACATGGAGGTAAAGGGAAAGAAAGAGCCTGAAATAGGGGGATAGTAGGGAACAGATGTAACCAAGGAGAAGGTGGGGAAAGTGGGGGTGTTCCGCTGGGAGGGGAGGAGGGAGGAACATGCAGGGGACCATGGGGGTGGGGGAAGGAAGGAACTCAAGAGAGGGGGGATTGTGGGAGGCAGGAGTTGGGGGGGCATGGGGGTGCTATAACTAGGGAAGGAAGAGGGAGGTTAGACCAGGGCAGGGGTGGTGGTGGCAAGGAGTGATGAATGCAGCTTGGGTGGCATGGGAAGCCAGAGAAATACACACTTCTTTTTATTTATTTATTTATTTATTTATTCATTTTTATGTATATCAGTGTATAGCCTACATGTGTGCAAGTACACCCATGTCATGCAATGAGACAAGGTCTCCCTGTAGCCCCAGCTAGCCTGGAACTCACAGAGATCTGCCTGCCTCTGCCTCCCAAGTGCTGGGACCAAAGGTGTGCACCATCACACCCAACCAGAACACTTCTCTTTAAATAATCCTCATTTTAAGATGGGCGTGGTGATACACACCTTTAGTCCCAGCACTCTAGAGGCAGAGGAAAGCAGATCTCTGTGAGTTCAAGGACAACCTGGTCTACATAGCAAGTTCCAGGCCAGCTGGGGCTACAAGGAGATCCTGTCTCAAAAAAAAAAAAAAAAAAATACATGCACTTCCTCTCCAAAAGAGTTAGTCTAATCCTCATCCTTTAAAACTCCATCCATGCTGGGCATGTTGGCTCAAGCCTTTAATCCCAGCACTCAGGAGGCAGAGGTAGGCGGATCTCTGTGAGTTCAAGGCCAGCCTGGTCCACATAGTGAGTTCCAGGACAGCTGGGGCTACAGAGAGACCCTGTCTCAAAAAGAACCCCCCCCCAAAAAAACTCCATCCATGTGCACCAGTGGAGCCTTCCTGCCCTCCCAACACACACTGATGGAACTAGCCCACTTCCACACTTCAGGCAAAACACTCATATACATAAAATAAAAATAAGGGGACTGGAGAGATAGCTCAGCTGTTAAGAGCACTGGCTGCTCTTGCAGAGGACCCAGGTTTGATTCCCAGCACCTACATGGCAGCGAACAAAGATCAAAACTCCGGTTCCAGAGGATCTGACACCCTCCTCTGACCTCCATGAGCACTGCACAACACGGGTGCACTTACACACACGTAGGCAATACACTCATATACATAAAATAACAAACATTTTTAAAAAGAATAATGATAAAATTTTAAAATTAAATTCTATGTAAAATGTGAAAATGTGGAAAGAAAACGAAAGTTTTGTGTGCCAATGGGCTTGAGATAGACATTAAAAAACATGCATGTAGGGCTGGAGAGATGGCTCAGCGGTTGAGAACACTGGTTGTTCTTGCAGAAGATCTGGGTTCCAATCCCAGCATCTACATGGTAGCTAACAACTGTCTGTAACTCCAGTTCCAGGGGATCCGACAACCTCTTCTGACCTCTGCAGGCATTGCACGACACAGGTGCACTTACCTACAATGCAGGCAATACACGCGCATACATGTAAAATAAAAATAATAAGTAAAATATTTTTTTAAAATGCATGCTCTTTGCAAAGTAATTAGTCTAGTCCTCCACCTTTGAAACTCCATTGCAGATATGCATCATACATACATACATACATACATACATACACATAATCTTATGAAAGGCTGTCTTTTCATGCATGGAAATTTCAACCAACTCTGGGATCATATTTTAAGCCCATTGTGAACCTCTTCAATCTTTGACATCAGTGTTAGAAATTTACAGTGTAACCAACCTGGGTTGAATATTCAAATTAACTCATCTAATACTCACATATCAGAATGTAAAATAGAGCTATTTATCCACCTCCACTTCTTCTCTGGTAACTTGTAACTTAGTCCGATCCAAAATAAGTGTCCTCTTCTCCTTCCCAAGTCCTGTATGAATGTCTATAATCAAAACAGAACAAGGGACTTAACACTGAATCTGTTTATTCAGGACTTATCTTTCTTTTGGTTTTTAAAAAATTTTTATTTTATGTGTATGAGTGTATTGCCTGCATGTAAGTAAGTGCACCCGAGCAATGCTGTGGAGGTCAGAAGTGGGTTTTGGATTCCCCTGGAACTGGAGTTAAGGACGGTTTGTAGCCACCATGTAGGTGCTGGGAATCAAACCAGGGTCCTCTGCAAGAGCAGTCAGTGCTCTTAACCGCTGAGCCATCTCTCCAGCCCCAGGACTTATCTTTCTACCAACCTCCTGAAACCTAGTTCAAGTGTCACCCTGTTTGAAACCTTTCCTGAATCCCCACCAGAATTCCTTCTTCCTTCTTTGTGAATCTCTCCCCACACATTTATGATTCTAGCACATTCATCTCTTATATTCAATTATTGGCTCTTATGTCTGATTGGTCTCTCAGATTATGAGCTTCTAGAAGTCAAGGTCTCCACTTCCTCTGCACAGATAATCAGCTAAAGTCCAGAGATGTTGAAGTAGCTTCAAGAAAGTGCTGAGTTCTACTAAGCGACTTTATTTAACAATTCACCAGTTCTTCTTGATCTTGAACAACCAGCAACGTGGCTTCCTTAGCAGAGCAGTCAGCTAGACCTTCATTCCAAGGTCCGGAAGCTTGAGAAAATGATAAGCATTTATCTTGATGTGAGTGCCAGTCTCTTGGGCACTGGAATGGAGTTGGTCTCTCTAAATTAAGAAAGAAGAGATGTTATATTTATGCTCTGTTCCTGCTATACCACAAGCAATTACACATAATAGTTGCTTTACCAGCACACACTTTTATTAATACATGATGGAACAAGATTAATGTTGTCATATGTCAGAGAAATATAACAAAAATCAATTTATGTTTTATTTCTATAAATTAACTTCAGAAAAAGTAAACTATTTGACATTTTTATTAAAATAATCAAATATTCCTCTTAGGCATATTTTGCTTTCTTGTTTTGTGAATGTGTCTGAGTGTGTGTGTGGTGAATGTGCACATGTGCAGACATGGAGGACAGACGAGAAGGTAGGGTGTTCTCTATAACCACAACCAATTACCCACAATAGTTGTTTTACCAGCATATGGTTTTATTAATACATATTGAAACAAGATAAATGTTGTCATACATCAGGGAACTTTAATAAATAACAAATGATTCATTTTATGCTCTGTTTCTATTAGTTAACTTCAGATAATGTTAACTGTTTGACACATTCAATAAAATAATCAAATAGTTCACTTAAGCATATTTTACTTTTTAAGTTGATATTTGCCTGTTAATAAACAAGTGTACCAGCATTCTGAGGCACAATGGCTGGTGGTTAAGATCATTGACTTCAAGGTTACCGGGCTTCAGTGCAGTTCCAACATGGGCACTTACCAGTCATGTGACTCTCACATTGCTTAACCCTTTTATGCTTCAGTTTCCTCGAACATAAAACCATGGTGATAAAGTATCTTCATGGCTGGGCCATGTGGGCCTTAACTAAAGTAACACACGACATCTATCAAATATCACCTGCTATTCTTAGGAAATTCAAGGGACAGAATCACCTGTTGTTTCAATCCTGTTTTCTTGAACTTCCACACTGCATTTTTCTACTGATGATTTTTGTATTAAGATTCTCACTAGTAAATAAGAAAACATATGAAGAGGATTAGATGCTAAAATAAACGGCAGAATGGATGCTGCATTTATCACTTCAGGAAATCAGGTTATTTCAACAAGTCTGAACATACGGACTAAGGATAAAAGTATTAGCAGGCCGGGAGTGGTGGCGCACACCTTTAATCCCAGCACTCAGGAGGCAGAGGAAGGCAGATCTCTGTGAGTTCAAGGTCAGTTTGGTCCACACAGTGAGTTCTAGGACAGCTGGGGCTACAGGGAGACCCTGTCTCAAAAAGACCAAAAAAAAAAAAAAAGTATTAGCAAACTGGACTGAGTTCAGTCTGGAGATAATACACACACACACACACACACACACAAAGAGGCTGGAGAAATGGCTCAGTGGTTAAGAGCACTGATTGTTCTCGCAGAAGATCCGGTTTTTGAATTCCAGCACCCACATGGCAGCTAATAACCATCTGTAATTCCAGTTTCAGAGGATCCGATGCCCTCTTCTGTCCTCTAGAGGCATGGGTGTACTTACATACATGCAGGCATAACATTCATACACATAAAATAAAAAGAACATTTTTAAGAATTAAAAACAAAAACCAAGAAAAGCAGAGAACACATGAATTCACGGCTTTTGGGTGACATATTATCTGTTACACTGAAGTCAACTGAAGGACATTACTGAAACTCTTAAACTGTTTGCACTCATGTGTGAATTTTCTCACCTTCAAAATGAGTATAATCACACCCACTCCAAGACAAAGACTGTCAACTGCTATCTGGAGTTAAGAAGGCACTTAATAAGCTAAATATTTAGGCATTTTAGTTCTGTTTGTCATTGTCATCTTTTTTTCATAATTGTGATCTCTTTTTGTAGTTCTGGGTGCACATGTGTCATATGCCATCAAGACACTCAGAAAAATTAAGAAATGTAAAGCAAATGTGGTTTCCACAGCGGACATGGGATACTGTCCTGTAACTTTTCATTTAATTGATTTTTTTCCTAGGCTCAGGGTGGCCAAATCATGTGAAGATGCTCTAATGTTTATGATGGAAATAGAGCAAAAATTCTCAAGCAGAAGATATTGCCTCACTTACCTAAAATACTGAGCCCAATCAGACTTAAGACAAGAAGAATCAGTACAGCACAGCCAAGCTTCAGAGCCAACTGGTGTGAATGTAGGCACTGACAGACATCTGAGAAGTTCAAAACATACACTTGTTGAATTCAATTAAGTACATCTGGAATGAAAATCAAAGGTGGTTTCGATAACATGGACATTTAGCTTCTTTCTAAGACTTTTTTTTGATTGATAGATGTTTATTCTAGGTGTATGAGGGTTTTCCCTGCATTATGTAAATCCACCATGTGTATGCAATGTCTTTGGAGATCAGAAGAGGGTTTTGGATTTCCTGGAACTGGAGTTCTGGACAGTTGTTAGACACCATGTGGGTTCTGGGAACTGAATCCAGGTCCTCTGCAAGAGCGGCCAGAGACATCTCTCCAGCACAACAATCGGTTCTAACTAGGTGTTGGGAGCAGAAAGGAACTTTCCTTAACCATCATAATGTAAAGTTCCACAATATGTATTCTCAGTTAGGTCCAACTAAGTGTTTTCTCTGAAAAAATAGCACATGTATAAATGTAATTTTATCAGTCCTAGGAATGTTATAAGAATCAAATTTGATAAGTGTGAAGCTGTTTTAAAATTGCTGAGTGCTGTACAAAAATAAAGTGTATATCCTGTTATGAAAAGTGAGCCAAACGTTTCCTCTGAGAAGGAGGATCTTCATTTATTTAAAATACATCTGGGGAGAGCTAGAGAGATGGCTCAGTGGTTAAGAGCACTGGCTGCTCTTGCAAAAGACCAAGATTCGAATCCTAGCACCCATATGGCAAGCTAACAACTGTACTGTCTGTAACCCCAGTTCCAGGGGCTCCACCACCCTCTTCTGCCCCTGTGGGCATTGCACGACATGGGTGCATTTATATACATGCAGGCATTACACTCATATACATAAAATAAAAATAAATTTTTTTTTGGTTTTTTTGAGACAGGGTCTCCCTGTAGCCCCAGCTGGCCTGGAACTCACTATGTAGACCAAGCTGGTCTTGAACTCACAGAGATCCACCTGCCTCTGCCTCCTGAGTGCTGGTATCAAAGGTGTGTGCCACCATGCCTGGCCTAGATTTATTTTTATATTATGTGTATGAGCATTTTGCCTGCATGCATGTCTGTGTACTGCAGTCACTCTAGCAAGTACTCTTAACCATTAAGTCATCTTTCCAGCCCCCTATATATTCTTTTTTGTTCTGTGTCTATGGTGTATGTACATGTTTATAAGTGTGTGTGCACATGTGTAGGCCAGAGGTCAATGTCAGGTATCTTCCTTAATCCCTCTCTACCTTATTTCGGTGTGTTTGTGTGGCAGATGTGTACAGGCTCATGCCCGGCTGAAAATACATTTTTTAAAAATAAAAAGATATATTTTGAATTCTCAGTTTTGTACAAAGTACTACTTTTGATGCTGGTGACATAAAATTCAATTCTTAGACATGGGATGCTACTGTTGTCTAGAATGGTCTTTTCCAACTTGATTCAAAGATATGACAAATTGAAGGACATTTTTGTGAACCAGCATGTTGTTTTCAATATTTCAATTATAGCTGTTCTAGCTGGGCATGGTGGCACATGCCTTTAATCCCAGCACTTGAGAGGCAGAGGCAGGTGGATCTCTGTGAGTTCAGGGCCAGCCTGCTCTATATAGTAAGTTTCAGGCCAGCTGGAGCTATAGGGAAACCCTGTCTCAAAAAGACAAAAAAAAAAAAAAATCAATTATAATTGTTCTTATTTACTGACAAGAATTCAATTCCACAATGCCCAATGGATGGCCAAACTGTGGATATTACTAATCTCTATGTACTATCTTACACACATACTCAGATGCTCAAAAATATAGTTTCCACCTTAACTAAGCGCATATACCACACACATGGTAACTATGATTTTCAGTTTGATATATGGCATCAAAAACTGTCTTTTTCTTTCCTTAAATGGAGTGCTTTCATCTTTTTATATAAAGCAAGCACTCAGGATAAAATTCTCAAAAAATATTTAATTAATTTTTTTAAAAAGCAAGAACTAGCCAGACGTGGTGGCGCATACCTTTAATCCTAGCACTCGGGAGGCAGAGGCAGGAAGATCTCTGTGAGTTCAAGGCCAGCCTGGTCTACATAGTGAGTTCCAGAACAGCTAGGCTACAGGGAGACCCTGTCTCAAAAAGACCAAAAAAAAAAAAAAAAAAAAAAAGCAAGAACTTAAGCTGGGCATGGTGGTATACTCCTTTAATCCCAGGACTTGGGAGGCAGAGGCAGGTGGATCTTTGTGTTTGAGGCCAGCCTGGTTTACATAGCAAGTTCCAGGCCAGCTGGGGCTACAGGGAAACCCTGTCTCAAAAAGACCGAAAAAAAAAAAGAAAAGCAAAAAAAAAAAAAAAGCAAGAACTTAACAGCTTCTCTTTGACAAAGCTAGGCTGCCAGCATCACAATTTTCTCAATTTGGGGCTGTAGTCAGTAAATAAGGGTTATTCAAGCACAAGCACTGGTGACTGGTGGGTGATGAGGGTGACTGTCTCTGGATGAGGGTGACTGTCTCTGCACCAAGATGGTAAGAGATTTCATCCAGCTGCTCAGAACAGTGTCTAGCTTAGAACATTAATATTTTTTCTAAATATCTCTTGGTATAAATGATTACATGCTTTGAATTACATCTAATTAATGTATTACTTAGCTCTGGAACTTTCTATTTAATATTTTTAGACTGCTTGCTGACTTCAGGTAACTGAAATTGCAGAAACTAAAGTTGCAGATAAAGGGAACCACTGTGGTTCAACATAGCAGATACTCATGTCTACAACACTGCATTGTCTAAACAAAACACTGGATTTTTTTTTCTTCTTGGTCATATATAAATTTCTGTATAATGAATGTCTCATGTTTATCAGCATTGAGATACATGAGATCATAAAATGTGGTATCACAACTTTGTAAACTTTGTTTTCTTCTAGACAACTTTAAAAACATGAATTTCAGGGGGGTAGAAAGCTGGTTCAGGGGTTAAAAGCACTGGCTGCTCTTGCAGAGGACCTGGGTTAGGTTCAAATATCCACATGGTGGCTAATAGCCATCTGTAACTCCAGTTTCAGGAGATCCAACACATTCTGCTGGCCTCTGGGGTATCGCATACATGGGTGCACTTACATGCAGGCAAAACGCTCATATACATAAAAGAAAAATAAAAAGTTACAGCTCAAAAAAAAATCATGAGTTTTATTTGAAAAGTAATGACCAGAGTTTTATTTCTAAAAATAATATGGAGAGGCTATCTCTCCAATCCCAGGAAGCAATCCAGCAGTTCGGTTCCCCTCCCCTCAATAAACTGCTGTCCCCCATGAAGTTGTCTTGGTCAGTAGTCTTCACTGCACCCTTTCATACATATGGTGCCAAAAACCAGGGAGGGATGCCTGGGTCTCCTATGACCTGGTTCCTCCTTTTACTGAACCAAACTGCTGATCAGACACTCCTGTAGTACACCCTCTGACAGAGTTTGGAGGCCATTTGGGAGGGAACTCACACTATGATTCCAGTCACTCCAACAACTATCAAAGTGCCTGAAAAGCAAATCCTGAGTCTAGCCATGGCAGCCAAAAGAAAAATGGGGAGAAACCCAGTAGATGGATGCTTTTGGAATTCCTCATCAAGAAACTCTGATTTGAACATTTAAAATTCAACCTGTTCTTACTTCTCCTGGTTCCCTGCCTAGAATTTGTGCCTTACTACTCTTGCCTTTACTTCTTCTTCCCTTCCTTGGCCCACTGATATCCATCCTCCTCATAATGATGACTATTCCATGCCTTTTAAATTTTTTCAGGTCAGGATCAATGAGATGACCCAATGGGCAATGAACCAGATACTCTTAACCAAATTCACTCAGGTCTCCTACTACCACCTGCCTGCCTGACCCCAAACTCCAGACTGATGTTCCAGTCTTTTGAGACCACCCCCTTTTGCCAATGTCCCTGTCCAGCAGGAAGTAGCTAAAGAAAGATCACTGTTGCCTCTTATTATCAACAAAAGGCTAGAATATTAGGTTCCTGGCACATTCCTAAAATGGTGGCATAGCTCCCAATATTCTGAAATGGTGGGTCCAAACTTAGCCTGGGAAAGTCCCTCTGCTTATTGGGAGACCAACTAATCCTGAGATAAACCTCCCAGCCTATGTCATGGTAAGTTACCCAAGCACCTAACTGCCTATAAAGACTGCCTGACTTCCTTTGCTGGTTGCTGTCTCTCTGATCCCAGAAGGCAATCCAGCAGTTTGATCCCTCCCCCAATAAACTGCTATTGCCACCCCCCCAATAATATGAAGAAACATTGGCTAGCTCCTACACCTTTAATTTAGATAAAATCCCCCTTTTCCCTCATTTGGTTTCTAACATTTGCATTTATTATGAATGGTTTTCTAAACTGTATTATTAGAGTCAAGTACCCTTTTAAGTAAAGATTTCCTAATTGCCTTTTGATTTGCTTTATTCTGCATTTGAGATAGGATTTCACATGGTTCCAGCTGCCTCAAACTCCTTCACAACTAAGGGCGAACTTGGACTCCTGATCCTCTGGATTCTGTCTCTCAAGAGCTGAAATTATAGTCTAGGGCTTCCTAATTTATATAGATACTGATTTATTTATATTTTCTGTTATTTTTATATTTTTCCTAAATATTTCTTGATGTATATGATTACATAATTTGAGTTACATGTTAAAAATTTTTTAATTAGGGTTGGGTGTGGTAGCACACACCTTCAAACCCAACACTTGGAAAGCAGAGGCAGGTGGATCTCTGTGAGTTTAAGGCCAGCCTAGTCTACTCTATCTCAAAAAAACCCCAAATTTTTTAATTAGATAAACCACAATATTGTCTGTTATTTTCACTATTTTTCAAAATTGCCTATATGTCCATTTCTACTTTTTCTCTTTACTCTTTTTTACATGACTGAGTTGTATAACTGAGATCACAGATAAATTCTAATGTTCTTTGATCTCTAGATCAGCATTAGGATGCTGACATTCATTTAAAAACCTTTTTAAAAGATTCTCCAGGAAAAGGCATAAAAGGAGGAAAGGGAGAGACAGTGAGACAGTGCCTGTTAACTAAATGGTAAAAGACT